CTGCCCTGAGGTCACGCTTAAATGGTTTTTTCATCTGGAAGTATTTCCAGAAACACCTCCATCTGTTCCAGCCTGCCGCACAGCCGGAGAAACAGTTTTCCTTACCTGAGCCTCCTCTAACCCCCATGCTGTGACAGCAGGTCCCACCGCCCCACTAACAGCAGCCTGCACAGCAGGGAAAGGGGCAAATACGAGACCCAACCTGACTGCTTGCAGGCAGCATGTCTGGCTTAAGCTCCTTGCTTGCAGCCCAAATTGGCCCAGCTTTTTCCAGCTCACACATTTTTGGCTTTCACAATATCCTGGGGCAAAATGTTTCACAGCTGAACAGGGCCTGTTGAGGACAGGTCCTTCCTTCTCTCAGTTTTGGACCTGCTCTTGCCGTGATCATCTCACCACTCCTGGCTGGATGTCTGCTCACCTTCCGCCTGCCACTCTGGCTCCCTCAGCCTCTCATGTCTCCTCCAGCTTTTTCAAGCTTAAAAGACCTAGATATCTGATGTTTCCTCATCACATCTGCAGCCTCTACACTTGATCATCCATGAGGCCTTTCTCTATGTCATTTTATTCCTGGTACATCCTTTTTGAGATAAAAGAGCTGTACATCATATTCAATAGGAGCATTTATTCAGCTCTGTTTTTTCTCTACCCCTTTACTAATCATTCTTTACACTTTACTTGCTCTCCTGCCACTGAGCATTGCACTCGTGTTTGCAGAGAACTAACACGGCTCCCTACAGGCGAGGGCTGATCGTGAATGCTCTGAGTGCTCAGTTTGGGTTGCTTTTTCCCAGAGTACTGCTTTGCCTTTACTAGTACTGAACTTTTCCTGCCTGCTTACCAACCTGAAGTTTAACTCTGAAAGATCCTACTCAGCAGGCAGCTTCACATTTGATGACTCCAAGCCTTTTAACCAGTTATTTTTAACTCGCAAGGAAAATGTCCTGGTGACTCGTGCCACTTCCACCGCCTCCGCAGCCGGCAGCTCAGCAAGTATTGCCTCGTCCTTCATGTCTCACTCTTTGGTGCCTTGGGTTGTTGTTCTTGTGTCTTCCAGAAGCCCATGGCATGGGACAGGGACTCAGGCACAGCCCCCAATGGACAATGGCAGCAGCCACCTGAGCAGCTTCTGAAATTGGCACCACTGCAAACCACCCCTTAGGCTTTTCTCCCAAATCTTTGCCTTCCTTCAGCTCCTTGTTCAGATATTGATCATCCATAACTGCACTGGGTCTCTGGTAAGTTTTGTGCTTCTGACATGTAGGAAAAAATGTTTATTTTTAGCTTATACCTTTACTGAGATTCCCAAAATCTCTTTTATCAGCTGTATTGTTACTCTCCATTTAATTTGCCAGGGTTTGTGCTCTCTTCCATCTCTTGCACTTGAGCACTACTTCGACTTTGGAAGGCTCTCTTCTCTGCTAACAGCCTCATCAGCTTCTCCATAAAACCATATGCTCCATCCTGAAGACCTTCTCAAGTCGTCAGGCCCACTACTGGGCGAGTGGGGCTCCGCACAAGTCCCAGCTGCTGCTCACAGTTGTGCTAACAGAAAATAGCAGCTCGCCCTTGTGAGCCATCCTTCCTGCCACGGAGAGCAGGCAGCCCTGAACCCCCTGACTCCTGCCCCGAATACAGTAGAGACTCTTTCATCCCCCGGCGCTCCCCCAGCCGCTTCTTTCCTTCCTTACAAAGCCAAAGCCGACACAAAGATTTCTGCAGGCCTGCCGGCAGCCAGTTTGACTCCTTGAAGTAATCGCTGTAATTGACCCTTGCAGGCGCTGAGCGCCGAGGGAGCGTGAGCCATTCATCAGACTGACGGAGTGTGAAAACCATAAACTTTTTGGCGGAGCTCGCTCCAGGCCCTGTCAGGCTGTGCTGGGCTCCCGGCGAGCCCTGCTGCTGTCCTTACCCCACAGTCGCTATTCCCGGTTACTTAGGGGCCCATGGCTGGTCCCCACACAGGCACAAGGCCCCCAGGGTGCTCGGGAGAGCAACTCGCGCAGAACCCGCCCTGCCGTGCGTGGGGACTTGCCCAGCTGCTGTAGGGCAGGGTGCCCAGAGAGAGGGAAATACCCAGCTCCGAAAGACGCCACCACCCGCGTGCCTCACCGTGCGCTCACCACAGGCGAGACGCCACGCGTCTGGGTGCAGTTTGCCGGGAGCAACCGAGCAGGCTGGGCTCAGCACTTCCTTGGAGCACGGTGTGGGCGGCCTGGGAGCACCGCGCTGGCTGCAGGCAGGCTGCGGGCAGGAGGGGTGACAGAGAGGGCCCAGGAGATGAGCCAGCGTGGGAATCACCAGTCCCCTGGAACGACAGCGCAGCACAGGCTAGGCCCAAACTGCAGGGTGAGTCAAGTGATGAGGATTTGAGCAAACAGATCATCCAACTGCAGTGAGTGAATTGCCCAGATCCCAGGGCACACGCACGTGCACACACCCTCGTCTAGCAGCTTGTTCAGATTTCCTTCCCCTCAAGCCCAAGAACAAATGGAGGGTTTTGCTGCATTCCCAGCCCAGCCAGCCCCCTGCTCCTGTCTAGAAGTGGGGCAGCACCGGCACAGTGCTGCTCCTCTCCTGCACCTGCATGGCATGGGAGCCAGTGCTGAGCACTGCCCCTTCAGTGCTGTCCACATCCAGGGTCTGGGGTTCACTGTTCAGGAGAGGAAGTGCACAAATGGCTTTTCCTTAGAGAAAGAACATCTTTGAGGCATGAAGTTGATGTAGGAAGTGACAAATGCAACACGTTGCTCAGTGAAGAACTGTGTGGATCCAACTTGTCTTCATCTTTCTCTCTAGTGTCTCTCTTATAAGCTCACAATAATGAATGAGCTTGTGATATAGAGTAAGTTGTAGTGAAACAGGGCCGTGGAGACATGACGCATGGAACGCCTGTCCCTCGGAGCCTCGACCTTCTCTTTTGCAGGCCCACATCAGCTCATCCCTTTCACACATGGCTCAAATTCGAGCTAGGAATGAGGTTATTTTCTGGCTGCTCTTGCTCCTGCTGGGAGCTGCTCCAGAACCTTCCCGTCTGGATGATCATTTCATCCCCATTTGTTTTTCTGACAGTTTTGTCATTTACTTAAGCAGTTTTTTCCTTTGTGGCTCTTCCTTCGCTGTGTGTCTGTAACAGGAATATCCCGCTGCCTTTGTGGTCAGCCCGGCAGGACACGCTCCCCAGCTCCCTGCCTGTCCCTGCCCTTCTCGTGCCGGTACCTCTCTGTTTGCCGAGCAGGGTTGGCCAGCCCTGTGCTCAGAACGTCAGGTGGGATCTTGGAGGGGCAGAGATGCATCTGCCTCCGGGGAAAGGCTTTCCCTGATCCATCCTGAGGTTGCCTTTGCCCCTCCTTGCCCCAAGCGTGGCAGCAGAACAGGCTCATGCCCTAACTGGTCAGACCGGCTGTATCTTGCCTCCTTGGACACCCCGAAACACCGATTGGAAGCACAAGTTCCTACATGTCCTCAGCACAGGTGCCTCAACCTAGTTTCACCCTGCTCCTTCCCTTCTCTCTGAAAAGCCTTTACTTCCAGATGATTCATTGTTCCTCTGTGCTGTTGGTGTCTCCCAGACCCATGGCATCCATATTTCAGAAGCAAATGCTTGTGTTTTGTGTCTAAGCCGCTGCTGAAAGATCAGATCTGCCAGTGTTTACTCCTGTAGCTGCCAATGCAGCACAGCCCATTGCTGACTAACTCCATTCTGCAGGTCCTGGACTGAATTCTCATCTCATCCCTTTTAAATAGCATCTTCCTATGGTGCTTCTTATGCTTTCAGCATTGCAGGGGGGGGCAATCAGATATTATTTCCAGGTTGAAAGCCAATATCTTAAAAAAAAAAAAAGTAGATCTCATGTGAGCATGACAACTTTCTAGACCTACCTTTCCTTTATTATTTTTTTCCATTTACACCTCTTCCTTTAATTATCTTTCCTCCAAAATTCACTGAACACCTTGCAGTGTAGTGAGATTAAGTTAATGGTTTTATAGCTTGTGAGTTGTGTTTTCATGTTTGGGATTATGGCCACTTCCTTCCCCGTTTCTCCCAAAGACACAAGATTTCACACCTCCAGCCATTTATAACCAGGAAACCTGCATGGGAAGGTCTGGAGGGGAAGGCTCCAGGTGGGATCTCCCCTTGCAGGCCCACAAATGTGTTTCCTCCCAGGACAGCACCAGGAAACGTAGTTAGTGGGGCCTCCACTCCCCTGCAGTGCGGCCAGCCCAGCGTTTCAGTGACTGCTTTCCCGCACTTTAAGCAGCCTTCTGCTCACTGCATTTAGCCTTGTGCGAGTGTCCATGGCTTCCCTGGGAGCTGCCTGAGAGCCGTTGCAGGACCAGGCACGCCGTGCATGCCCGTGGGGATGTGCTCTGCACAGCAGGGATGTGCATCCTCCTCAGGGTGCCAGGTTCAACGTGCTGCTGCGCAGGACGACGTGAGAGGGGCTGTCCAAGGGGCACCACGTGGCCATCCAGCACGCGTGTGTGCTTCCACCGACACGAACCCCTGGAGAAGGGCTGTGCTGCACGGAGGGCGCTCCGCTGCCGTCCTGCGTCAGGAGTGATTTCCCCATCCCTCTGAGGATGCCTGCTTTACGATCTGTGAACACCAGGAAGAAATGAAACAGCAGTGGAGAATTCCCTTCAGCAAGGCTTTCATGGTAAAATATGTGCTGTTGGGTTGTCCATTCCACAGAATGCAAAAAAAAAAAAAAAAAAAAAAGGGAAGGAGAAAGGAAAGAAAGAAACCATCTGCTTTTTTAGAATCCCCACGCCCACATACTCTATCCTCGTTGCTCTGAAAGGCTCGTTCTCCTCTCCTGCTTTCACTCCTGTGCAATCAGATAGTCCCCAAACTGCCCTTGGGTTAATTGAAACCATAAGCCGCTGTCACTTACAAGTGTTATAAGCACAACAACCACGAGGAGTTTAGGTGTTTTGAAAAGTATGATCTAAGTGGGGCCTGCGATGAAAGGCTCGCTGACAGGGGGTGCAGGGCGATGCCGGAGGGCTGCTGCAGGTACGAGCTGGCCCCGTGGCAGGTACGCGGCAGCTGCGGAGAGCGGCGGCTGCTCTGTGCCTAGTCGTGGTCACAGACCACACGATCCAACACATCCTGTTCGTGTGGAAACACGGCTACGCTGCTCCTGAGCCCAGATCATCATGGGGCCGTCGGCTGAGTTGCTGCTTCAAGGGGTGTCCTGATTTTGTTTGCTATTTAGGGGAAAAAAAAGTCAGATTTTTGCAAGGCAAAGAACCAGGCTGAAACTGAGTGTGGTGCATCAGGTAAAGAGCAGGTGATCTTGTGTGCGAGGCCTCCCTTTAAAGCGAGAATGGCTAATCTTGTCTCAATAAAAACAGCACCACGTCAGGGTAATCAGCGGATGCAAAGGCTTTAATGTCACTGGCAGTGCCCCAGCAGGGTTCAGGGGTTATCCTGGCTGAACGGTATTCCCACGGGAAAGGTAGACAGCAGCTCTGTGCCCCAGGTACGCAACTGAGGGCTGTCAGTCGGCGTGAGGCACGTGTAGCGCTGGTGAAGCCTCCACCACAGCTCCATCTGACCCATCAATACACTTGCCATTCCCCCTCCAATTCCCTGACATTGACTCCCTCTTCTTTTAATTTACATTCTTCCTGAAAGATTGGAGAAGAGGCTGAAAAAGAGGGAAAATGGCACATGTTGTACCGTGCTCCATTTTTTTTTTCATTAGCCCCAGAGCATGTTGCATGTTAAAATGTTAATTGTTAAAAATTGAAGCTCCTCCCCCGAGTTTTCCCAGGTGTGGTAGGTGAAGGGCTACTGATGCTTGTCCCAGCAGCAGCTCTGCAGAAGTTCTTTCTAGAGCCTCTCATAACTGCATTTGTGCCCACCAGCACCTCCGTTGCCTTGCTCACTGGCAGCAGTTGCTGCCAGGGTTTTTACACTGTCCTTGCTGCAACAAACCTGGTGCCAAGTAAATGAAGTTGAGTGCAGGTGATACCTGTGGCCACCCCCTGCCAGCACGCTGGGGCCATCTCCACTGCTCCTCTGTGATAAACCTGATAAATGTGATGTTTGAAGTTACTACGCTGACACCTTGCCACCCCCACTGACATTCAGGCAATGAATCCGTAACTCCTGGAAACATCATATCATATATTTTATTTTCCCTGATTTGCAGATGACCCAACCAAGGCAGGAATTTCAGGCCGGGATTTTCCAGCCCAGGTACATGCAGACGGGCTGCAAAAGTTGCACTTGAGCCCCCCATGTCACCTGGGCTCGCAACGGCACTGGGCAGCGCCGGCTGCTGCAGCAGCAGGGACGTGGGACACACCATGGCAGCGCACACCACGCCGGTGCTGTCAGCACTGCCTTAAGCCCCAGCTGGGGTGATACAGCAGGCGACTGAACGCGGCTTCTTGGCATATCCCCTGGCTGCAGGAGATCAATAAAGTGCAGTGAATAAGAAGTAAAGAGCTTTTTCCTGAGTGAGTTCTGTCCTATCAGCACTCTACTGAGGCTACACACAGCTCTGGGACAGGGCAGGGGTTTCCAAAACACAGACCAAAAGCCTGTACGTCCCCAGCGGGCACCGTAAATCTCTGCTTCCCAGACAGGGCAGTTATGTAACCGGCAGCAGCCCCGGTGCCAGGTTCATGTGCTTGCACTCGCATCACGCAAGTGGCCGATCACGCCGTGTACACAAGCTGCGCGC